AAGTTACTTTTCTGGGCCATGTGGTATCAGAAGGAGGTGTGCGCCCAAACCCAGATAATGTTAAGAAAATACAAGAATGGCACACTCCTACAACTGTGAAGGAAGTTCGTCAATTTCTTGGTATGGCCAGTTACTACAGACGCTTCATTAAAAACTTTTCTGATCTTGCCAGATCACTTATTCAACTTACAAAGAAAGACAAGAAATTTCTATGGACAGATGATTGCACCAACAGTTTCCAAACCCTCAAATCCAAACTGATGAGTCCAGAAATCATGGCTTACCCAAAGGATGATGGAGAATATATCCTGGACACCGATGCCAGCAATTATGGTATTGGTGCGGTACTCAGTCAGCGTTCTGATGGTGATACAAAGGTTATCTCCTATGGCAGTCGAACACTAAACAGAGCAGAAAGGAACTACTGTGTGACAGACAAGGAACTGTTAGCAGTGAAGTATTTCGTACATTATTACAGACAGTATCTACTAGGATGTAAGTTCCTGGTTCGTACAGACCACAGGGCATTAGTATGGTTATTCCAGATGAAGGAACCAAAAGGAAAAATAGCACGTTGCCTAGAAGATTTATCCTCGTATGATTTTGCCATCGAGTACCGTCCAGGGACCAAACACAACAATGCGGACGCTATGTCCCGATGTGAATATCCACATGATTGCCAATGTGACGTCGAGACACCATTACATTTACCCTGCGGACCTTGTACTAAATGTGTAAAACGAGGGAAAGATATGGATAATACATTAGTTCCTCAGGAGCAACCTGTGAGATCTGTAACAACAGGTCAACAGAAACGAAATAAAACAGGTGATGATCTACTAGATGTCACTTGGACCCCTTGGAGTACAACTTATAGTCCTGATGAAATTTGTAAGTCTCAAGCTAAAGATCCAGACCTCAAACACATAGTGAAATGATTGGAGAATGGCTCACGACCTGATCATTCAGACATTGTTGCTAGGAATTCTGCAGTTAAACACTATTGGCATATTTTTCAGTCTTTGACCTTCAAAGATGGCATTGCTTGCAGGAATTTTAACCGCCGTGCTGGTACTGGTCATTTTCTACAACTACTAGTCCCTACTACAATGAGAGATGAAGTCATGACTCATATGCACAACAACAAGTTGGGTGGTCACCTTGGTAAAAAGAAGACCCAGGAGAATACACTGCAAAGGTTCTACTGGTATGACATTAGAGGAGACATCAAAATATGGATTATGAAATGCACTACACGTGGACAAACAAAACTACCGATGAAGAAACCAAAGGCTCACTTAGGTGATATGTCTATAGGAGCACCACTTGAAAGAATGGCAACTGATATCCTTGGACCTCTTCCACTTACACCTCGAGGAAACAGATACATTTTACTGGTCACAGATTACTTCTTCAAATGGGTAGAGATCTTACCTGTCCCAGACCAAACAGCAAAAACATGTGCAGAGAAAATACTTGATGAAGTTATCAGTCGATTTGGTACTCCATTGTCAATACACTCAGACCAAGGCCGTAATTATGAGAGTTCCATATTTAGAGAGTTATGTCAATTATTAGAAATTAAAAAGACAAGAACCTCAGCCAGACACCCACAATGTAATGGCCAAGTTGAACGTTTTAACCGTACATTAGTACGCATGCTTAAAGCGTATCTTATAGGACAGCAAACCGACTGGGATAAGAATTTAGGTTGCCTAGCAGCAGCATATCGTGCAACTCCTCACGAATCAACTGGGCTAAGTCCTAATCTACTGATGATGGGCAGAGAAGTACGACTTCCGGTAGAACTAGTATTTGGTAGTAGGACCTCTTCTAATCAAAATGTCACAACTTACGGTGAATATGTAGAATACCTGAAATCCAGAATGCAATTAGCTCATGAGGTAGCTAGGAACCATCTCAAGTCCAATTTCCAGCGCAGGAAAGATTTTTATGACAGAAACCTGAGCCACATCTTGTATAATGTAGGAGACCCTGTATGGTGTTTAAACGAAGAACGTAAGATTGGTGTATCTCCAAAACTACAAGTCGCATATATTGGACCTGGTATTATTACAGAGAAGCTTACAGATGTCACATTCCGAGTTCAGCTATCTCCAAATCCAAAACAATCAAGAATCCTGCACCATGATACACTTAAGATGTATCTAGGAGACAAGCCTGATTGGATGAAGACTGTACTTAACTAATCTTTAATTGCCGTTATTATTTTAATACTATATACTCATTTATGATGAAAGATTTTTAATGAGAATTTAGAAAACCATAGACTCTAGATCCAGAATATCCAGCCTTGGCAAATCTTGGGATTATTTTGGGTACCACCAAACATCCATTAACTACTTCCTTTGTACTTCCAGACATCACGGACTCCAATACTAATAGACGAGGCCGTGTATATTCCTGCATGTCATGTGAGTTTAAGGACGAAAGGAGGCCTGTCGTCAGCCACATTTATAAGCACCACATAGCCTTGGAGTTATCTCCTTTCTATTGCACGCTTTGTTTATTCCGGGCCACCAGGAAGCACGATCTGGATCGCCATGTCTCCAGTTACCCAGACCATAAAGGGAAATTGAAACTCCGGCAAGAGGCAGGGATCCCATTAGAAGGACTGGATTGCCTCAAGCAATCCAGCTCACCAGTCTTTCTTAAAGAAGAGATTCACCTCAAGAGAATGTCGAAACCAGAGAGCGACTCAATTTGGAATAGCAGAAAACCAACAGATGCTGCACAGGAATTTTATGCCCTAACAATACTTCCTGAGGCTTTATTGGAACCATCGTGTGAGATACCAATGCCTCCTCTGGAGGACATTGATCTCACTCTCTTTGACCTTCCAAAGACATCTGAGGACAAAATGAATGTTAGTAGTCAAGCATCGCCATCTCTAGTTATGTCACCATCTACCAAGATTTCTGGTATTGAATCTATTTTAGAAATTTTGGAGCAAAGGACAAACATTGAGGACAATACTACCAAACTCCTCATCGAAATATCCAGGGAGGTTAACAACTTGAAACAGGGACAAAAAAGAATTGAGGAGAAATTGGACCTCTTGTTATGCCAACCAGCTTCCAAGAAGAGAAGAACCCTTAAGGAAAATATATGCTAATCATTGACTTGGTTTCCTTATAAATTCATCGTTGTTAAAACAATAACTTTATCATTAACCTTTTCATATAATTTATATTCAATAGTATATTCATATTGAATAGTTTACCAGTGTATATTGTTCATGGGGACATGAACGTATTTTAAGGGGGGAGTAGTGTGACAGGATGGGGTGTGAAACACGTATATTATGAACGGTAAACTTATGTAATTACGTCTATAATGTGAGGAAATGGCGAAAAAGGGTTATAACTATGCAGAAATCTATTCATTGTTACATTAATTATATTACATTAATTATACCTGTAAGCGTTATGTAGCATTATCTGTTTGTACATGAAATAGTCGGCGAGCTGTGGAAGCATGGTCTTGTAGATGTTTTGACGGGAGCGAGAACTGGACGTGACGTAGTACGCCAGATGAGTAGTAAACAAATGTTATTTTTAGTACGAGTAGAAATTTTGGGAGTCGTACATCGTGGTTAAATGTGTTTGAAAGTGAAGTTGATTTGGTATGTAAATATAATATTAGATATTCTCATAAAGTTAATTGTGTAAACTGTGTACACAACTTATTCCAGCAAGAATTCAGCGGGAGAATGATTCCACGTGATTGCCATGGTAATTCCAGCAACGCTCCAGCAGAGATCAGTTACATTGGTTTGGGGGGTCACTTCTGTTTTAGAAGCAGAGGTGGGTGTTGCGTTATGTGATGTTTCTCTTTGTATTTTCCGCTAAGGGTGAAAGAGGCCATTTCCTCAAACTCCAAAGCGGCTGTCTTGTCTTGTATGTCTGTTCTTGTGTTAAATGTGGATTTATTTTGGGAATTTCATAGGGAGGAAAACTTAGGTTACAGTAGACCTAATCCTAATTTCTTGGGTGGGATGTAAAGACTGGTTAGGAAACATTGTAAATGATGGGATTTTGTAAGAGAACTATTAATTCAAATCATTACTATGTTTTTAGATCTTTAAAACCATTTCACTATCATTCATTCATAAGTTATAGAATATCATTTGGGGAGTTTTCTTAGGCTGGAGCTTGCTGGATCTAGGGTTTTTTTACTTGTACTATTTATTCTATTGTATATTTATTCTCATTATTATTCCGGGAATTATTAAATTATTAATATAAAAATTCATCTTCCATTGTAAATAGCATTTATACATTTGTAAGCTATAGTGAGAATGAGGTGTGAGAGTGCTAGGTTGGATTATAATTTGTCATATGAAATAAGAATCCATAATTAAATTATTGAACTTTATACTACTCTTGGTTGTATTTGAGTAGAATCGCTGTCCCGGGGACAGTGATTGTGGCTTGATTATCTAAATACTTGATTAAAGCCATTCTGGTCTCAAGTCACTGTTAATGGTCAAAAGACAGATAATTCTTTGGAGTTCAGTTCTGGGCATGAACTATCCCTCAGTTGTATGGGACTGAGTTCTCTGCAAATGTCATTATCAGAAATACAAGTATAAGTCAATGTTGCGGACTTTAGATGGATGAAGAAAGGATCCAAGATGAATAAAGACACATTCAATTATGGAGTAACATTTATTTAACAAAGTCAATGGGTTATATTTAATGAACTGGCATCAATCAGAGTGATTATTCAAACTTCTTTGTAGCAGTCAGCTGCGCTACTAAGATTAGTGGTTGAGTTATACCACTTGGCTGTTACAATAACTTACAACAATGATGTATATAACTTACAACAATGATGTATGTAACTTACAACAATGATGAATATATATAACTTACAACAATGATGTATATAACTTACAACAATGATGTATGTAACTTACAACAATGATGTAACTTACAACAATAATATATTTCATTTTTTTTTTTATTTTGAAACAGAAGTGACAGCACACGGATGCTAGCTTTTGCCACTACAACAAACCTGGAGATTCTATCAACTACCGACACACTCTACTGCTATGGAACTTTCTACTCATGCCCAAGATTCTTCAGCCAGCTGTACACGATCCATGCTATGATAGATGATCAAATGTACCCGCTCGTATTCGCCCTTTTACCAGGAAATTCGCAAGTCATCTACACCAGATCCATGGAGAAGCTAAAATCTACGATGGAGGTTCTACAACTTCAACTCAACCCAACTTCAATTTTCATGGACGCCCAGAATGCAGCCAAAGCCGTCTTCCCAGGGATTACAGTGAATGGTTGTTTCTTTCATTCCACGCAGTGTATTAAGAGAAAGACCAAGCTACTTGGACTCCAGACCTACTACAAGGAAAAATAAAGACATCCACAGACTGATTCGTAGAGCCGCTGTTCTTCCACTAATACCACCACATCACATCGAGGACTACTGGTTCAACGCCTTGGAGGACCTTGAAGACGTCGACCTACCCGTAGATACAACGCTATTCACTGACTACGTCATCACCCAACGGATAGAAGGAGACCGACAGGTTTGGAACCACTTTGACAACGATGGACCCAGGACCACAAACATCTTGGAATGATGGCATAGCATATAATTCACGTACAGCTTCCAATCTGTGTAATACAATTCACGTACAGCTTCGAATCATAATATAATTCACGTACAGCTTCCAATCTGTGTAATATAATTCACGTGCAGCTTTCTGGCTGCATAATACAATTCACGTACTTCACGTACAGCTTCCAATCTGTGTAATATAATTCACGTACAGCTTCCAATCTGTGTAATATAATTCACGTACAGCTTCCAATCTGTGTATTGTAATTCACGTACAGCTTCCAATCAGTGTAATATTCTTTACGTACAGCTTCCAATCTGTGTAATATAATTCACGTACAGCTTCCAATCTGTGTAATATAATTCACGTACAGCTTCCAATCTGTGTAATATAATTCACGTACAGCTTCCAATCTGTGTAATATAATTCACGTACAGCTTCCAATCTGTGTAATATAATTCACGTACAGCTTCCAATCTGTGTAATATAATTCACGTACAGCTTCCAATCAGTGTAATATAATTCACGTACAGCTTCCAATCTGTGTAATATAATTCACGTACAGCTTCCAATCTGTGTAATATAATTCACGTACAGCTTCCAATCATAATATAATTCACGTACAGCTTCCAATCTGTGTAATATAATTCACCTACAGCTCCCAATCTGTGTAATATAATTCAACTACAGCTTCCAATCATTATATAATTCATATACAGCTTCCAATCTGTGTAATACATTTCACGTACAGCTTCCAGTGTGTGTAACACAATTCACGTACAGCTTCCAATCTGTGTAATATAATTCACGTACAGCTTCCAATCATATTATAATTCACGTACAGCTTCAAATCATATTATAATTCACGTACAGCTTCAAATCATATTATAATTCACGTACAGCTTCAAATCATATTATAATTCACGTACAGCTTCCAATAATAATATAATTCACGTACAGCTTCCAATCTGTGTAATACAATTCACGTACAGCTTCCAATCTGTGTAATATAATTCACGTACAGCTTCCAATAAGTGTAATATAATTCAGGCGCAGTTGCCCTCTGTGTAATATAATTCACGTGCAGCTTCCAATCTTTGCAATACAATTCACCTACATCTTCCAATCAGTGTAATATTATTCACGTAAAGCTTCGACTCATACTATTATTCAACTACTTCTTCGTATAATAATATTATGCTCGTACTTCTTCTTATATGCGTAATATAATTCACGTACAGCTTCCAATCTGTGTAATATAATTCACGTACAGCTTCCAATCTGTGTAATATAATTCACGTACAGCTTCCAATCATAATATAATTCACGTACAGCTTCCAATCATAATATAATTCACGTACAGCTTCCAATCATATTATAATTCACGTACAGCTTCCAATCATAATATAATTCACGTACAGCTTCCAATCTGTGTAATACAATTCACGTACAGCTTCCAATCTGTGTATTGTAATTCACGTACAGCTTCCAATCAGTGTAATATTCTTTACGTACAGCTTCCAATCTGTGTAATATAATTCACGTACAGCTTCCAATCATAATATAATTTACGTACAGCTCCAATCTGTGTAATATAATTCACGTACAGCTTCCAATCTGTGTATTGTAATTCACGTACAGCTTCCAATCATAATATAATTCACGTACAGCTTCCGATCATAATATAATTCACGTACAGTAATTCATTCGTACAGCTTCCAATCTGTGTAATATAATTCACGTACAGCTTCCAATCTGTGTAATATAATTCACGTACAGCTTCCAATCTGTGTAATATAATTCACGTACAGCTTCCAATCTGTGTAATATAATTCACGTACAGCTCCAATCTGTGTAATATAATTCACGTACAGCTTCCAATCTGTGTAATATAATTCACGTACAGCTTCCAATCTGTGTAATATAATTCACGTACAGCTTCCAATCTGTGTAATATAATTCACGTACAGCTTCCAATCTGTGTAATACAATTCACGTACAGCTTCCAATCATAATATAATTCACGTACAGCTTCCAATCATAATAGAATTCACGTACAGCTCCCAATATGTGTAATACAATTCACGTACAGCTTCCAATCTGTGTAATACAATTCACGTACAGCTTCCAATCATAATATAATTCACGTACAGCTCCAATCTGTGTAATATAATTCATGTACAGCTTCCAATCAGTGTAATATAATTCAGGTGCAGCTTCCAGTCTGTGTAATATAATTTGCGTACAGCTTTCAATCTGTGTAATGTAATTCACGTACAGCTGCCAATCAGTGTAATATAATTCACGTACAGCTTCCTCTGTGTGTAATATAATTCACGTTCAGCTTCCAATCATAATACAATTCACGTACAGCTTCCAATCATAATATAATTCACGTACAGCTTCCAATCTGTGTAATATAATTCACGTACAGCTTCCAATCTGTGTAATATAATTCACGTACAGCTTCCAATCTGTGTAATATAATTCACGTACAGCTTCCAATCTGTGTAATATAATTCACGTACAGCTTCCAATCTGTGTAATGTAATTCACGTACAGCTTCCAATCTGTGTAATGTAATTCACGTACAGCTTCCAATCTGTGTAATATAATTCACGTACAGCTCCAATCTGTGTAATACAATTCACGTACAGCTTCCAATCATAATATAATTCACGTACAGCTCCAATCTGTGTAATATAATTCACGTACAGCTTCCAATCTGTGTATTGTAATTCACGTACAGCTTCCAATCATAATATAATTCACGTACAGCTTCCAATCTGTACAGCTTCCAATCTGTGTAATATAATTCACGTACAGCTCCAATCTGTGTAATATAATTCACGTACAGCTTCCAATCTGTGTATTGTAATTCACGTACAGCTTCCAATCATAATATAATTCACGTACAGCTTCCAATCATAATATAATTCACGTACAGCTTCCAATCTGTGTAATACAATTCACGTACAGCTTCCAATCATAATATAATTCACGTACAGCTTCCAATCTGTGTAATATAATTCACGTACAGCTTCCAATCATAATATAATTCACGTACAGCTTCCAATCATAATATAATTCACGTACAGCTTCCAATCTGTGTAATACAATTCACGTACAGCTTTCAATCTGTGTTATATAATTGACGTAAAGCTTCCAATCAGAGTAATATAATTCACGTACAGCTTCCTCTGTGTGTAATATACTTCACGTATAGCTTTCAATCAGTGTAATATAATTCACGTACAGCTTCCAATCTGTGTAATATAATTCACGTACAGCTTCCAATCTGTGTAATATAATTCACGTACAGCTTCCAATCTGTGTAATATAATTCACGTACAGCTTCCAATCTGTGTAATATAATTCACGTACAGCTTCCAATCTGTGTAATATAATTCACGTACAGCTCCAATCTGTGTAATACAATTCACGTACAGCTTCCAATCATAATATAATTCACGTACAGCTTCCAATCATAATATAATTCACGTACAGCTCCCAAATTGTGTAATACAATTCACGTACAGCTTCCAATCTGTGTAATACAATTCACGTACAGCTTCCAATCTGTGTAATATAATTCACGTACAGCTTCCAATCTGTGTAATATAATTCACGTACAGCTTCCAATCTGTGTAATATAATTCACGTACAGCTTCCAATCTGTGTAATATAATTCACGTACAGCTTCCAATCTGTGTAATATAATTCACGTACAGCTTCCAATCTGTGTAATATAATTCACGTAGAGCTTCCAATAAGTGTAATATAATTCACGTACAGCTTTCTGTCTGTGTAATACAATTCACGTACAGCTTTCTGTTTGTGTAATATAATTCACGTGCAGCTTCCAATCACGTGCTTCCAATCTGTGGTAATATAATTCACGTACAGCTTCCAATCAGCTTCCAAATATAATTCACGTACAGCTTCCAATCTGTGTAATATAATTCACGTACAGCTTTATAATTCACGTACAGCTTCCAATCTGTGTAATATAATTCACGTACAGCTTCCAATCTGTGTAATATAATTCACGTACAGCTTCCAATCTGTGTAATATAATTCACGTACAGCTTCCAATCTGTGTAATATAATTCACGTACAGCTTCCAATCTGTGTAATATAATTCACGTACAGCTTCCAATCTGTGTAATACAATTCACGTACAGCTTCCAATCTGTGTAATACAATTCACGTACAGCTTCCAATCATAATATAATTTACGTACAGCTCCAATCTGTGTAATATAATTCACGTACAGCTGCCAATCAGTGTAATATAATTCACGTACAGCTTCCTCTGTGTGTAATATAATTCACGTTCAGCTTCCAATCTGTGTAATATAATTCAGGTACAGCTTCCAATTAGTGTTATATAATTCACGTACAGCTTCCTATCATAATATAATTCACGTACAGCTTCCAATCATGATATAATTCACGTACAGCTTCCAATCATAATATCATTCACGTACAGCTTCCAATCTGTGTAATGTAATTCACGTACAGCTTCCAATCTTTGTAATATAATTCACGTACAGCTCCAATCTGTGTAATACAATTCACGTACAGCTTCCAATCATATTATAATTCACGTACAGCTTCCAATCATAATATAATTCACGTACAGCTTCCAATCTGTGTAATATAATTCACGTACAGCTTCCAATCAGTGTAATATAATTCACGTACAGCTTCCAATCTGTGTAATATAATTCACGTACAGCTTCCAATCAGTGTAATATAATTCACGTACAGCTTCCAATCTGTGCAATATAATTCACGTACACAGTAATATAATTCACGTACAGTGTGTGTAATATAATTCACGTACAGCTTCCAATCTGTGTAATATAATTCACGTACAGCTTCCAATCAGTCTAATATAATTCACGTACAGCTTCCAATCTGTGTAATATAATTCACGTACAGCTTCAAGTCTATGTAATATAATTCATGTACAGCTTCCAATCAGTGTAATATAATTCAGGTGCAGCTTCCAGTCTGTGTA